AATACACCTTTTGGAAACAAACCCCTGCCTCAGCTTCAAAATTATGGAAATTTGCCTATTTCTTTTGTTGTTTCCTCTCAATGCAATTTGTCAATGGCCTGGGATCCGATGTGCAATGGTAACTCTTTAGCTTATCTCAATCCCTTGGTCAGTTTTGAGTTCCCCCATGTCAATGGTTATATTGTTAACAATCAATGGGTGCTTCCTGCTTCTTGGCCTGAGTCTTTTTGGTTTGCTATCCTTGGTATTCCTATTATTGAGCAACCGGCTATGTCATGGGATGGCTCACACAATCTCTCCTTCAAGAATTTTTTTACTCAGTTCCTTAGCAATTCGAAGGAGGTCAGTTGGCATAAATTTATCTGGCATAAGCACCATGCCCGTAAATACTCTTGCTATGCTCGGATGGCTATAATTGAGGAGTTAAAATGTGCGGATTTGCTTATTAAGAGATCTATTCCTAACCCATCCTGCCCCTTTTGCGAAATCGCTCAGGAAACTCATAAGCATTTTTTTAATTGTGATTACTCTTTCTTGGTAATCACCTCTATTCTACATTTTTTAGGCCAAATCTACAGCAAGTTTATGAATTCGTTGACTGCTTGCAGCAGTTCAGTAGTGGGGAAAAATTTTTTGCTATCTTGTTACTTGCACTGATTATCATTTATGAAAGGAACAGAATCTTCGTCTTTTTTCTAATCACTGGAACAACCCCACTTGGCCTCTCTTGTTTATTAAGAATGCTATTTTTCACAAAGTTAGGATATGGAATTGTTTTCACAAGCGATGAGGACATCAATACATGGAAAGTCTACTAGAGGCGTGGTCATCAATCTACGGCCACCATTACATCGCGCTACTTTTGATTTTCATATTTATGATTGATGTATTATTTTTATTTTATGAAGTTTATTATGCTTTTTCCTTTTTTGTCCTTAAGGGCTTAGGTATGTGTAGGCCCTAGGGGCATGGTTGTACTTTTTATTTTCTCATTGTATGGGCTATTTAAAGCCTCCCTCTTCTTCTTTGAGGAGTAATGAATGAATCATAAGAAAATTCCTGCACATGTATTCTTTGGAGAGTTGTGAGAGTTTTAGGAGAGAGCTTTGGAGAAATTCCTAGGGAGGGAAATCGGATCATCCACCAATCTTGGAGATGGTCGGGTTCGTGGTTCTTCTTCCTTTACCTTTCTTTCGTTCCTTTTCCTTTCCCTTCCTCTTTCCCCATTAAGCCACCAACATCCCCATCCAATCCCCAGCCTCCTACCCGCCGGATTCCCTAACCATAATCCACCTTGTTGCCGACCAACTCTCACCACCAAACCATTCAACCCACAAACCCTAAACCAAACTCTATTCCAAACTGTCAGCCGCCACTTTGCCTTCCCCTCCCTCATCAATTGCCATTACACATTTCCTAAATTAGCTCTACATTTTAGGTAACTCAAATAATTACAAATTCAAATCTATTTGAATTTGAAATTATTACCTAAAATATAAATCCTATTTTAGGAAAGTTTCCAAATTACTTCCTCTTTGAATTTTAAATTAAATTGGCATGAGATATTTCTTCCCAAATTTAATTCCTTAAATCAAGAAGGCATTAAATACTTCCATAAACTCTCCCTTGCCCGCTCTCTCTCCCCCCTCCATTGATCTTATAGCCCCTCCTGGCTCTAGTAATAGTAAATAGATCTATTTTAATGTGTTCTAACGTTCCAAATGAGATGGTAAACCGCTAAAAATTTAATAGTCGAAAAACCGCCAGAAAATTAACCGACTAAAAAAATCGTCGGAAAACTGCTGAAAAATTTTGTTAGTAATGGATGACTTTCCAATAATGATTCCCGCCCCCCCCCCCCCCCCCCCCCCCCCCCCCCAAATACCGCTGGCTCCTTTCCCATCTACCTTCCTTTTTCTCCCAAGACTCCTCTTAGGAAAGAATTGGAAGCTTTTCTAATTTAGATCATCTTAACTTTGGAAAGAATTCAACTTTCAAATTCCAATTAAATTGAATTTGAAATCTTTTCTTAAAGAAATTGATTTATTTTTGGAAACTCTCAAATCCACTCAAAAATTGATTAGAGATTTCTCTCTCATTCTCTTTCCCCTTTTAGCAACCCAAGTTTGGAAGGAATCATAAATTCCCCAATTAACTCCCCATGCATGCACCCCCCCCAAAATCCTCAAATCAAGCTCTCTCTAATCAATCCCAAATCCGGCCAGCCCTTCCCAAGCCGTCCCTGACGTTACCCTTCCGTTTTGGAATTTTTGGCTTGCTGTCTACACAAATCAGAAGAACCATCCAGATGTCCTGCACTATTGGAGTTTCTGAACTAGCATCTAAAAGTTCCCAGCATCATTTAGCACCATTCAAGGTCTTTATAAGCACTAGAAGTTGCTGTCCAGCTTTTCCCAAGAGGCAAAACTGCTGTAATATTGCTGTCCAGAATTTCTGGACAGTGTCGGGAAGCTGTCCCGCTACTCAGAGATCACCGTGTGCTGCCCGGAAGGTTCAGGTTGCTGCCTAAACATGCCAGCCGAGATTAGTTTGCTGTCCACCATCCCGAGATCATCAAATTGTTGTCCTAAGGCGGCTAGGAGTTGAGAACTGCTGTCTACTACCTCTCAAGTGCATAAACCCAACACCGGAGCTTTGTTTTGTCTTGTTTATTTGGGTGATCTTCTCTCCTTCTCTTTTATCTTTTAATCGCTCTCAATTGTAGCTCTAATTGAATCATGGAAAGTTGTGTTAACTCTTCCCATTAAAGTCTAGTATTTATTAGGAATTGTGTGAGAGACCTTTCATAGCACTACTCTTGTTGTTAGAGTAGGGATTGCTTGTTGAAACTCATCTCATTGGCAATGTCAAGAGTAATTGATTATTATGTGGTTTTTATTTTTTACGAGTAACTTGGCCTAAGCTTGTGTTTACCGCTCATTGGTTTTATTTCATTGTTTAATTATCATAAAGCTTTAATTAATTATCTCTTACTCAATAAGCGTGCAAAATCCTTATCGAAATCAAATTTTCATATGTCCTGCATCACAAGCTCAAAGTTTGGTTTACTGTGCTCATTTGATTCTTGTTGAGCTCTGTTTTTTTGTTCGGTCTGATGGTTTCTCACTAGCTCAAGAACGGTTTTTGTGCTCACTTGATATTTGTCAGGCTATGTTTTGGTGTGGTATTTGGTTTTGGTCGATGATGAATGGGCGAACTTGTACACTATTATAGGGTTGTTTGTGGACATTCGCTACTTTCTGGTTTTGGAGGGCTTGCTCATATCAGATGTTTTATTCGGTTGCTTTCAGTTATGGCCCTTGAAGCAACCGGCTCGTTCTTGGATGGCCTTTGTGGCAGACTGGGTTAGTTCGCAATTATCGTGCGCTCTCATCTGGTTGCGACAATTTTTCGTCTTCCAACCTGATTTTCTGGTGATGCTTGGGGAGTTGGTCCCATCCTGAGACCCCTTTTGACTTTCATCCTTGTTTTGTTTTTGTTTTGGCTCTCTTTCTTACCTTATAGATCTTCTTTGTAACTTGTAATTTAAAATTTCTGAAATTGACAAAAGGGGAACAGAGAACCTGATTATGATTAGAAGATAATGCTGGTTGTAGGTCTAGCTAGAGACAATTTGCCGGTCCGAAATAGGCCCTAGCTTACTTTGCATATTCTCTGCATCAGGTGGCAGAGTCCTATGGGTCTAAGGCCACCGGTGATTTACTGAAATTTACCAAACTTTCTCCTGAACTTTGGTGCCTAACAGCAGCTTTCGTGTTGATCAAGAACCCTCTAGAAAGCTGACCAAGAACCTTTCTTAGACCAGCTACCCAAAAACCTCTAGAAATTGAAAGTGTCTTGGCTCAAGGACAAGGCATGGTGGCTGCTGCCGGTGGGAACCTTCCTAGCTACCATTTGAGGCCAAAGTTTGCAGGGAAGGATAGAGTAATGGTGGTTAATGATGGTAGGGTCCCCTACCCTACTACAACCCCTCTTCTCTTCACCTCTCTAAATTTAGGGGAAATCTATGATAGGAAATACTTGAGTTCACAAGCAAACCTAACAATAATTGGTGAAAACAGCGAGTAAACTTCAAGATCTCCAATGAAAACAATCCAAAAAATAGTTGATTGTATTATAGGAGTCAAACCAAAAACAAGAACATGTAAAGATACAATTGATCCTCAAATTGAGAGGAGGTTTGTTCTCTCCCAATCTCTAGACGATGAATCTAGAGCCCAAGACCACAAAGAGAACTTCAAGAGAAAACAATAATCATGCATGCCCTAACCCTCACATCTCATGCCTATTTAAAACCTTAATTTTCTAATTAAAAATTCCCTCCCATGCCTTAGCCGCCCTTCCTCTTGCTAAATTTAGATCAATTCAAATAGTGGGCCCCATGGCTTTGGGCGGCAACCATAGAGGAGGCATGGGCCTCATTGCTTGGGCGGCAACAATAGAGGCGGCGGCATTAATCCGCCTCTTATAGACCCGAACCAGCCCTTGCTTGGCCGGCAACAATAGAGGCGGCGGCATTAATCCGCCTCCTGTAAACCCGAACCAGCCCTTGCTAGGCCGGTTGGGTCGGTTCCACCTGAACCGTCCTAACAATCTACTCCAAGGACAGGATTTCCCTCCTCTCCCAGGATAACCTGAAAATTAATTCTCCAGATAAACTTAGCCTGAGATATTTATAGGAAAGCCGCAAGGCAAAGAATAATAATTATTAAGATACTCGTACAGAAGAAAGGCTAGGAAAGAATAAAAGCGAAAAAGAAAAGAAAGAAAAAAAAAAAAGCTAAACAGAAAATAAGGAAGTTAATAGCTAATGAATCATGTCATACTTTCACTTAGTTTCAAGCCCTGCAATTCTTGGCTTTGTAATGACAAAGTGGAATTGCATAAAAGAGAATGGCTTATTTGGAAAACCAAGAAAGCCCAGTGGCAGAGGTTCTTCTATCTACTAACCCTCTTTTTGGTTTGCAAATTCTTTTCAGATAATTGCAACAGCAACATCAACAATACAGATTCCGACAATCACGAACAAGCTCGCAAGGTTGTTTTAGCATTACCGTGTTTTGTCAACAAGTACAGTCCTTTGCCTACTGCAACTAGAACTCATTGAACAGACAAAGCCAACAAACTTCCTGTGCAAATTCCTGAACCAAACTGCAGTAGAATGTGTAAGCATTTTTTATTTTCTTCTAACTGCTCTTACATAAATTTAGAGCATTAGTAATTATATTATTAATGCTGTTTTTGAACTTCCCTAACATGTAGATTTCGAATAATAAGCCGATGAGGTAATGCTACAGCATGTTCTTGGATCTGGAATTGGGCTAGCACTTCAAGCTCTCTACAAGCAGAATATATCAGTTCAAAGGCATCTATTTCAGGTCAAAAGTGATTATTTTTTTATTGGTGCTGAGTGATGAAGTGAGGATGCTTTGTTTTAGAAAAAAGATGATTTTGTACAGTTTGAGAGAACTCTTAGATTAGGTTGTTTATATTGTTTGGCATGCTTTTTATTCCTTTGGTTCATTCCTGTACCAATGTGGTGGAATGTAAATTTTGGTAGGAAGGGTACTTTTTTACTGCTTTCAAGATGTAGGCGGCTTTAGCATGAGGAGTCATATTTGTCACCTTGTTAACTGAAATTTTCATTGGGGGTTCATTTCTGCTCTAAGTTCTAGTATTTTTTTTTTCTTTTTCATTACTGTTTTCGCTTCTGTGCAGTTCCCTATTATGAGTTTATTTGAAATTCTGGTCGCCTAATGTGAGATTGCTGATAATAATTCAATTTTAGGTTATCTCAGTAGCTTATTAACTGTTGTTTAAGGATGCAGTTTATTATTCGGAGAGACTAATTAGAATGTGTCATGTCAACAGTATAGAGCTACGAACGGAACCTGGTACCTAGTAAGGGTGACATGGTGCATTCTGATTGGTCTTTGAATGATGTTCGTTGTCTGCACTGAATAATTTCTCATAAACATCTTCATGAGCACCTAAACCCTAAAAGTCAGCTCGTTTGATATCCGAGATAAGCTTAGCATTTTTTTTTTAATTTGTTTTAATGGGTCGAACATTAATAAAAAGTAAGCACAATTATGTTGAGATTTAGGTTTTGTTTGGGGTAGCTTTTTATCATAATTTTTTAATTATTTTGACAAATTTTTATATAAAAAACAGTTGTGGAAAGTGGTTAGAAATTTGTCCCAAATAATCTTTGATTTTGTTTGAGATTACTTTATTATTGATATCTAAAAAAACTTATTAAAAATTTATTTTAGAAATTAAGAAAAAAATTATCTCAAACTAGATTTTAATATATATATATACTTATTTATGTTTATTTATATTTATGCAATCTTTTCTTAATCTTTGTATTTCCTATTTAAAATCGATCCAACACACTAAAATTTATGATAATCAGAGCCATCCAAAAAAATTGATGCTATTGATGTTCGTTTATTTGTTGCATGTTCCGTTCGGATTTGGCAAAGAAAATTTTTTTATAACATCAGTAAACTTAAAAATATTTGTAATCGAGAGTTGAACAAAACCAAGTTTATCAATTATTGATTCGCTGGCGCCCTCAATCACATGAAAACAAATCAAAGGAAAAATACTACGAAGGTCTTTTAATCATTAAAAATAGAAGCAGCACATTCATAATCGAGGTTCACAGCAATTTTACATATCCTTATATAGTTTGAAGGCTTAATTAAAACATATTAGAAACTAAAAGCTTAAGAGCTCTGTGAAAAGCAGGTCTTTGTTGAGGTATCAGGAACTAACAATTAGTTCTGGAGCTGCCCTATCTCCCATCCTCGGTTTCTTATTATTGATCTTAGCTGAGCCCTTCCCTGCCACAAGAGTAATTGATTCTTGTGGATCATAAGCAGACAGATGAACACCGAGAGCAGCTCGGCCGGAGGGGTCCAGGTTCTTCGACCACTGAGAGTCCCACTCAATGGCCTTCGCCGTGCTACAGGCGACGCTCGGCCCTCCAGGTACGGTCAGCCTTGCAGAGTTCTGCAGTCAAAGATTCAAATGTTGGAGTTAGGGCTGTCAAAATTGGGTCACGGGTCGGATTCGGGTCCAATCCGGAACTGACCTAATATTGTTTGACACGACCCGAACCTGACCCGTTTTTGCAAACGGGTTGATTTTCCAGACCTGAACCAGAACCCACTTCGGGTATGTTTTACAAAAAAATTTATTTAAACCTAATAAAAAATTAAGCTAAGATTTACTTCAATCAATTTAAAATAAATCAAGCTTAGTATAATTTGGACAACAATGTTTATTATTTTTTAAAAATATTATTTACTTATTTCATAATAATCTTTACAAATTCTCCTAAATTAATTAAAAACGGTTCAAGCTGAGTTGATTTTGGGTTTCCAGGTCGACTCGAATCTAATCTGTTTTACAAATGGGTCGAAATCTCTAATCCGAACCCTAACCCCGGTTCGGGTTCGGGTTGACCCGAACCCGAAATTTTCGGATCAGATTTTCGGGTCGGGTCAAATATTGAAACCCCTATTGGAGTTTTGATGATTTAAAGCTAATTATTATGATAAATTTCTTGATTCTAAATTGTTACCTGAGGAAAGAACCTTTCAAATATCATGCGGTAATAGTAGGCCTCTTTAGTGTTGGGTGTGTTGTGTGGATAAATATGTTCGGCGTTCAGCATCATTTTATCAGTTACCTGTAAAGAAATAGGGAGATATAAGTATTAGAGATTTAGAGTTTCATTTTTTATCAAGTTTTGAATTGAGAAAAATGGGTTCATATGAGATATACGTGCTGTGCTGCATGGGCTTTAAGTCCATCAATCCAACTGTACCCAACTCCATCACTAAATTGTTCCTTCTGCCTGTACAGTATGTGCTGCAAAAAGAAGACCTCTAATGAGTAATCCAACTATTCAGGTAATCTTTTTCTAGAGGAAAAAAAAAAAAAGGCTGAACATGAGTTGAAGGCTTCATTTGGGACGGCTATTTTATTTCTTCTTAAAACAGCTTTTTAATTTTTATACTAAAAAATTGTTTTAAAAAGCAATACAAAAAACCGTCACAAACGATGCCAAAATCAATACCTTGGGCAGATAAGGATTCTCCTCGTCATCAAAAGCTTTCCTCAGCACCCACTTCTCAATTCTCTCAAGATCAGGCTTGATCTGATGGTATTTGAATGACATATATAAATATACATCAGAACTTCAACAAGGATTTCCAAAAAAAAAAAGTATTAAGATAGTATCCTCTTCTTACCATTTTGCACTCAGGATCAATACTCATAGCAACGTTTATGAATGCTTTGTCCAGAAATGGGACACGAACTTCAATGCCCCATGCAGAGGTTGCTTTGTTTGCCCTCAAACAGTCATATTGATGAAGGGCTTTTATCTGCAATTCAAATAAAAATATTTAGTCTATATGATTTACTTAGAAAACTACAAAATCAGGCAAAACAGATGATACCTTGTGGCAAGTTTCCCGGTGGAACTCTTCCTTGTTTGGTGCCTTGTGGAAGTACAAATACCCTCCAAAAATCTCATCAGAACCCTCCCCTGACAGCACCATCTTCACCCCTAAAGACTTGATTTTGCGCGACATTAGGAACATAGGGGTGCTTGCTCTGATGGTAGTAACGTCATAGGTTTCAACATGATAGATAACATCCTCAATGGCATCAATACCATCCTGTTCGTGGAGCAAAAAAGTACAGAAACCTTAAATTTTAAAAAAATATCCTTACAAAATTAGTTTCGTTTGAAACAACTTTCATACTGCATTTTAAAACGGCTTTCTAGTACAACAAAGCCGTTTTAAAAAGCAAGAAGAAAGCCGTCCCAAACGAAGCCTAAATATGCTTGCTTTGATACCTGCACTGTGAAGTGAAACTCATGGTGGACAGTGCCAAGGTACTCGGAAACCTCTTTTGCAGCCTTCAAATCAGGTGATCCCTATGGGAGTATTGGACAGGGAGAACATATCAACATTTTAATCGTGAAAATAGGTTGGCATAAAAATAATTTGTGAGGGAAGAAGCTAACTTCTAGCCCGACGCAGAAGGAATGGAGTTGAGAGCCCCACTGTTTGGCAGCTTTGGTTCCGGTCAAGTGGCGAGCAGTGACAGAAGCAACCAATGAAGAATCTAATCCACCAGATAGTAAGACCCCAAAGGGAACATCTGTCATGAGCCTTTTAATGACAGCCTGAGAAGATCAATATATTTTATTAACATTTTAGTTCAGGAGGACATAAGGGATCTGAAGCTAAAATAGAGGACACATGATCATATACATTCTCGAATGCCTTCCTCAAAACAAGAGGATCAAATGGAGTCGAAGGAATGGACTCGGCAAACCAAACTGGATTGTACCATCTCTTTAATCCACCTTGTTTACTGGAGTAGATATGGCCGGGAGGAAACTGCTCAAAATGTTCACAGTCATCATTAAGCCCTTTCATTTCCGAAGAAATCCAGACAGAGCCTGAGAAGAGAAATATGTAGATTAGAATTCAGAGCTATGGAAAATTTGAAGGATCGAGAAAATGGTTTTGAGTAATCGATGGCTAAGTAATTATAATAACGTCATCTACTGTTTTACTTTCAAAGAATGATAGAAGGAAGGAAAAGTGCACCATCAAGTCCCCATCCGATATAGAGGGGTGTTACACCAATCGCATCACGAGCAGCAATGAAACTGTTATCGTTTGAATCATGCAGAACGAAAGAGAAAACGCCATCCAACATATCAATGAAATCTTCACCATGTTCCTCATACTATTAAGAAGTAGAATCAAAGATGTTTAGTTATAAAACGCAGGAAAAATTAGTCAGAGTTTCTAGATGGGGGAAAAAATGGAATAGTCTCTCACCAGATGTGCAATAACCTCACAATCGCTTCCAGTCCTGAACTTGTGGTTGGATAATTGAGCTCTTAGTTCTTCATGGTTGTAAATTTCACCATTAACCTGTTAGTTAGCTCAAAGTTAACGAGTGCTTGAGAATATAAAAAAGTTATAGGAATTTTTTAATTTTTCCATGAGAAGAACATTAGTCAGCATGCCAATCCTGGCCAGAAGGAATAATGAGGTTAAGGTTTTTGAACAAAAGAACCTATATAACTAAATATACATCAAATAAGAAGCCATTGATTGCTTTTTCTATGACATGATATAACAGATCACAAATAAATTACTAATAGCAAACCTTCTTAATCTAACTTTTCTATTTTTAAAATAAAATTTGACAGTCTGATTTACCCATTACATTCAAAATTTCAGAACGGACTTCTGTTTTTATCCATATTCATCAAATACCGGTTTTAGTATATAATTCCACGACTAGAGATTTTATTAATTTATTTTTGGTAGCAAGGAGCCAAGGATATAAACTTGGATATTTACTTTGGCTGACAAAGTCAATAAACTCAAAACACGTGGTTGGTGCCAGATTTATAGAACTAATAAATGAATCTTTGATTGTCTCTTTTCCATATAATTTCACATTGTAAACTTCTTACCGTCACGGCGATGCTCTGATCCTCATTATACAGAGGTTGATCTCCAGAAGCAGGATCGATTATCGCAAGCCGTTGGTGTGCTAGATAACAATCTCCATGGTGGAACAACCCACTCCAATCGGGACCACGGTGCCTTAACCTATAATATGATGAAAACCATCAATTTTTTCTCATGAAAATTAACCAAATTACTGAACCCAATGATGAAAAAAAAACAAGTTTATTAACCCATATATAAATTTACCATCAATACCTAAGTTATTTCTGTATACAATTTAATCATATTCATTAGATCAAGACAAATCAGTCTTCTTCAACAAAAAGCAAAGAAAAACTGACCCAGCCCAGCTTGGCATAATCAATATAATTCCTGTTTCATTCTAGAAATAGCGAAAGTGCGAGCTTCGAATTGAACACTTCAGGTTATTGAGCGCTATTTCATTGCTAAACAAGATTGAAGGAAAAATGGATCAAATACCAATAGTTATTATTCGCATGTAAGAATTAATATTAGGGTTCAGTTTAGTAACCTAAAAATTACCATAATCTGACATACATTCAAATTTTTTATCTAAATCCCCATAATCTCACATTAACAAGAGCTCCTCTAAAGTCAAACAATAAAAACAAGCAATATCAAAGAAAGTCTAGGTCTCATCGAGGGTTGGGAAAGATGTAAAGAAAAGGGATTGCCTGCGAGAGAGCTCAAGAACTCGAACCCTCTTGGCCTGGGAATCATCGGCGCAACCTAGAACAGCTAGAATTCCACACATGGCTCTGTGTGAGAGTAAGAACGAGGAAAAGAGGGAAGAGAGAGAACAATTTGGGAGAAGAGAGAACGAGAGCAAAATGAGGCGCAGAATGCAGGACGGAAGAAAGGAACGAGGAAGGGTAGAGAATGAGGAGAAGATGAGGGGCTATAAATAGGCTCGCGATGTCGGAGGGACGAAGAGAACGGTAGTCCGTGACTATGTGATTTGTTGGAGTCCATTTCATGGTGTTCATCAATGCGCTGTTTCTATTTTCCACATAAATTTTTGGGTCATTTGTGTAAAATTCCACAAAGTTTTGTGTTGGATTGAATAAAAAAAAGTTTTAATTTTAATAAATAAAAGTAATACTTTATGTTATTTTATAAATAATGATAATTACTCTGATTTATGCTAACATGGTAGGGGTGTCAAAATTTGACACGACCCGAAACCTGATATGAACCTGACCTGGAAAATTCCGGGTTCGGTTCAACCCATTTGTCATATGGGTCGGGGGGGTTGTAATTCCAACCCATTTGTAAAACTGGGACGAGTTCAAGTTGACCCGGAAATTCGAAACCAATCGAGATTGATCTATATTCATAATCTCGTGTGGGATCGTCACGTCAGGCCTTCACTCGTTAGGCGTCAAGTCCGCTGCCATTGTCACGTCGCTGAGTCGCGTCAGGCTTCAGGTTTGTTGCCATTGTCACCGTCCGTCCCACCCGCAGTGCGCGTTGCCGCTGTCGTCGTCTGTCCCGCACGCACTGCCGCTATCGCTATTGTCCCGCCCGCGGCCTTGCACTAGCTCCAGGCTCCTGTAGGTTGTAGCGCAGTCGAGATGAGAGACGACAAGACCCAATTGGCGGACCCGATCCGCACCCTCCACTATCTAGTGATTTCTATCCCTTGTGAGTCGGGTCAAGTCAACTCGGTAACCCGCATTGGTCAGATCCAGATTGGCAAACCTGGCCCGTTTGCGAAATCGGGTCGGGTTTGTTTGCAGTCGGGTAAAGTCGGGTTCGACCCGAACCCGACCCATTGACCCGAATTGACACCCCTAGTTCCTTAAAATCTCATTTATCATATTTTATAAGAAGCTAATATTATTATTCAAGTTTGAAAAAGCCTTAATCGTTCTGTCAAAATTTATAAATAAAATTAATTTCTTATTTGTAAAATAGGGAAAATTATTATTATCATAAATTTTCAAAAATTATAGATAATTTGATAAAAGTTTTTTAAATGTTTTTACTAATTTTTTTAACATTTTTAATGAATTTATTCGTAAACTTACACGCAATACAGGTTCGAGAGATTTGAAGCATATGCTCTCAATCAACAAGCTGTGATGTGCTGCACTTACTAAAACGTATGAGATGAAATTTTCATATGACACTTTCACAACTAACAACACAATGTAAAGAGATCTGATTAAGTATAAACAAGTCGAGCTGGTTAAACTCATTTATTTTAGATGTAGCTCAAATTTGAGCTCGAGCTTGGCTCATGTTTTGAGCTCGATTCTTTATTTTGAATTTAAATAATAAACAATTAATTAGACTAATATGAACTTTGATGTGTCAACTGATATTAATCGAGCTGACTCGACAAGCTTACAAGATTCGAGCTAGGCTAAGCTCAAGCTCAAACTTATATAGCTTGTTAAACCCAATTCAGATTAATAGTGCGATCTAATTGATTTGACCCAACCGATCGATTATAAGCTTAAAATAGGAGCTATATAGAAGATGAAAATGTAAAATAATTGAAAATTCCCTTTAATTTTTAATAGAAAGTGGTTTCAAACTTAGCCGTAGTCAGAAGTTCGAAGTTTAGGGTATGTTGATTATGAATGAATTTGTAATTAAATTATCTCAAAATCTTTTAAAAAATTCTATTTGCATAGATAAGTGATACATCATCAAAAAATTATCTTGATCAGGCACAAATCTTGAGGAAAATAAAGTTGGTTACTTCCGAAATTAAAATTGTGATCATCTGAACTCTGATTTAAGCAAACTAATAGTCGAACTGACGTCTCAAAAATACGAACCCAACGACACCAAATTCCACCCAATCCAAGCCCAATTGGGTACAAATCAAGGGCCAACTGAAGTGTTGTTGGAAGGTTTGAACAACAATTTGGATTACCAAACGTTTTCCAAATGTGTCATGCTTATAGTCGAATCAAGCGGCTCGACGAGAAGAATGCAACGAGCCTAAGATCACTGAATTCCAACATCACTATGACATTCAAATGTTCATTGAATGGTCCATGATCAAGGGATTCAATATCAGTCGTCCATCCTAGCCGGCCACTCCCCATTTACCCTTGATATTTCTCCTATTTATGGGCCATGCCACTCTAGGAATTCTATAAATAGACCTCTCCTTTCTCTTTAAAAAGAAATCTCCAAGCAAGAGAGCAATAGAGAGATCGGAGATCGCTCTTGCCTCCCGCTCCTCCTCGAACACCGCCTGGAGTTTTGTCGGGCCACCACTTAAGGCCGAAAAAAAATCTAGACCGCTAGCGGTTAGCCAACCGCCAGTGATTATCGCCAGCTAACCGTAGTAGGGTAGCTCGGGCAACTTTGCGCAAGCAAAAAGGTAGCTTGCAGTGGCACGCGGCGAGCGGAACAGTCGTGTCGGAGCATGCGAACAGGCAAGCCGGGCCAACGGGCCGAGCAGGCCGGAGCACGCGGGCGAGGTGGAAGCTGCTCCGGCGACGACTAACAGTGGCTGGACTCTATTTTGGACCCAATTTTGGCCCAAAAATGTTAAATCAAATGTTTTTGCGATCCCTGGAACCTTTTTTCGACGTCCTGAACTCAATTTGGCACTTCTAGAGTAATTCGAGAACTCTAGGCTCAAGATCAGAGTATATTCGAATTTTAAATCACACAAAAATTCCCCAAAGCCTGGGACATATATTTGCAAAATTATGGAGCTTCGACGACTGAAAATAGGAGGGCAACTGATACATCATCAAAAAATTATCTTGATGAGGCACGAATCTCGAGGAAAATCAAGTTAGAAAACTTTGAAATTAAATTTGTGACCATATGGTCTCCGATTTCAACAAACTTACATTTGAACTGGACGTCTTGGAAATACAAACCCAACGACACCAAATTCAACCTAATCCAAGCCCAAATGGGTCCAAATCAAGGGTCTGAAGCAATGTTGAAAGGTTTGAACAACAATTTGGATTACCAAATGGTTTCCAAATGTGATATGCTTATATTCGAATCGAGCGACTCGACGAAACAAATCCAACGAGCCTAAGATCATTGAATTCCAACATCACTAAGACATTCAAATATACATCGAAAGGTCCATGATCAAGGGATTCAACATTGGCCCTCCATCCCAGCCACTCCCCATTTACCCTTGATCTTCCTCCTATTTATGGACCATGCCACTCTAGGAATTCTATAAATAGATCCCTTCTTTCTCTTAAAAAGGAGGCTCCAGTAAAAAAAGCAAGAGAGAGATTGGAGATTGCTCTTGCCTCCTCGCTCCTCCTTGACCACCACCTGGAATTTTGTCGGGCCACCACTTAAGGCCCTAAGCTCCACCGGACAATCACTTGAGGCTCTGAGTTCCATCGAATCACCATTTGAGGACCTGAGTTCCACCAGACCTTCACTTGAGGCCCGGAGTTCTGCTGGACCACCACCTGATACCCGGAGTTCTACCATACCACCACCTGATGCCCAGAGTTCTACCAGACCACCAACTGACGCCTAAAGTTCTATTGGACCACCACCTGACACACGAAGTTCTGTCAGATAACTATTTGAGGCCCGAAGTTCTGCCGGACGACCACCTGAGGCCCGGAGTTTTGCGAACTACCACCAGACACTTGGAGTTCTGTTTGACTACCACCTGAGACTTAGACTTCTGTCGGACCACCACCTGAGGCCCAGACTTCTGTCAGACCACCACTTGAGCCCTGAACTTTTTTCAGACTACCATATGAGGCTCAAACTTTTGTCAGACCACTACTTTAAGCCCGAACTTCTGTCAGGCCACCATCTGATGCCCAGAGTTCTACCAGAGTATCACCCTACTACTATGGTCATTTGAACCCCATGTCTCCTGATGACTATGGTCCTTTCGACCTCCATCGATCTCCAGACAATGGTTTTTCTGACTCCGGTCTCTTGTTGACTATGATCATTTTGACCTTTGTCACCCACAACAGTCCTTTTGACCTCCATCACCATAAAATGATTTTTTTGACCCTGGTCTCCTGCCAACCACGGTCTTTCGGACCCTTGTCTCCTGCCGACTATGGTTCTTCTAACCTTCGTCATTTACTACAGTCTTTATGACCTCCATCGCTAGACAACGGTCTTTCTGACCCCGGTCTCCTGCCTACTATGATCTTTCTAACTTCTATCCTATCAATTATGGTCATGTCGACCAAACAAACATGTCTATGTTAATTATTGTAACTTCCACCATGTAATGCACTCTATATGATGTAGATTTGCGACATTAAGTCAAGGCCTTCTCCCAAGGAAGGGCTTCATTTGTAATCGACTACAAATACAAGTTGATTCATTCAAATTGGGCCAAGCCCAGTGGTTTTTTCCCCCTTTCAGGAGTTTCCACGTAAAAAAATCTTGTGTCTCTTATGAATGCTACACGCTATCTCTTTCATCTTCTTGTGTGCTGGATCTTTGTAACGCTAAGACGTTAAATTATATATTTCTCTATCGCAGTGAATATTCCAGGATGCAACAATAAGGGTTTGACTATTTGGTAGCACTTTTGTTGAAAATTCAACAATTTTTTTTATAATTACAATTATTATAGATTTGTTGTCTTTTAAAAAAAGTCATTTAATAATTTTTTTATAATTATCACATTTTAATATGATAAAAAACTATTTTTCATTTTAAAAGTAAATAAAAATATTACAGTTATCCAAAATGAACCCTTAAATATATGACAAAAAAGTTCCATGAGAAAAAAAATTAAAAAAAAAAAGATTTTATATGATTTTTGTTTTAAATATTTTTTTATTCATTTTTTTAGGATATTTTTTTATAAGGACGTTGTTAATTATTGAAACTCATGATAATCTGATTTTGGCTTAAAATCAGCTTGAAGCATTCAATTAGATCACGAGTTGAGTA